CCAAAAGAAAAATCCATACATCGACAAAACACTCGTGGGACTCCAACATTATTTTATGGAACTTCTATAACTTCCAAATGGTATGGATTAAATATTGGCAGCATATAGATCAAAAGGTCACTACGCACAGAGAAAAGTAAACACAAAACTTTCCTACATACACCAGACACGCAAATATAGCTAGTTAGAGTGCAGTTTGTATATGGTGGAGAGGGAAGATTATTAAATAGAAACAAACTGACAACAATTTTTCCAAATCTTATAAGACACTGACTAGGAAATGTACATCTATTTTTGAGAAGAAAAATGAAATATATTACAAGGATGAAAAAAAAATTATTTTACAGGATGTTTACTCATTACTATATAGAAAATTGGAACACGAGATGAAGCAGTGGATTACCTCTTTAACTTTCTTGTTTATGACATCCCAAGCCAACCGTGAGAGAAAACCTCCAGCTACAGACATTAATTGAACAATCCGTGTTGCAACAGCACGCGGCCGCTTACCCCAATATGCAGATATGCTAGCTGGATCATACACCAAAGGCAAAAACTCGCTGCTTTCCTCAACCTATCCAAAAAAGAAAACCACAGATAGGGGATGATAATTTTGGATTTGTTCATTTGATGAGCAATGTCAAATAGTGAACTGGTTACTGCAATGAGCCAGACCCTTACCTCCACAAGGCGAAGCTGAACATCGTCCTCAGCAAACTGTGAATCCCTTAAATTTTGGCCTCTAAGCCCTCTCATTAGTATTGCCAACTCTTCATTTTCTTCCATTTGGGCCCTCACTCTTTTAATCTCTTGCGAAACATCGCCTATCCTCTGCCATTTAAGTCCAAAATTGTCATATAGCACCAAACTGTCTCAATTTTAAAAAACATTAGAAAAAGAGAAAAGAGAAACCATAACTTATCTGTCAAATTAACTATTCAAGAAATATGCACACGGCTGCTAAACCCATGTCTGATAAAAAATCGTATTTAGTTAACAAAGATTGATTCATCCAGACAAATTACACATATCAATCTTCTAGTTCAGTTCTTCAAAGTTCTTTAAGTTCATAGAACTTATGAGACTGTCTGTTCGACTACTCTGATACCTTTTGCGACAAAGCGAATGCGAGAAGCAACTTTTCTGGGAATATATATATATATATATCTTGAAATTTACAGCTCGCAATAAGTGCTACAAGATTTACATTTTGGGGAGACACAATACTCAGCTCGAGTGACCTTCGTCGTAATGTATTCGGCTAAGTTGATTACACCATCCTATCCGAACAAACTCCTTATTTCCTCTCCACTTATTCCACTTCGCTTAGAAACAAAACTGTGCAAAAAACCTCATCTCGATTCATCCAAATTAAGAAGCGACTAATCCACAACAAACGTTTCTAGGCCTATACAAGTTTTTTTCCCCCTTAATAGCCAAGTCAATAGCATCAAGAATCCCAAACCTCAAATGTCCATCCTAAAGCAACTACACTTATTTTCTACAAATACACTTCTACACAAGTTTTTAAGAATAAAAGAACGATCAATTGTACCGTGGAAACGCCGTTGACAGCTTTAGAAGCTGGAGGCCTGGCAGACCCGTTGGTAGGGCCTGTTTGTGATGGCTTAGCAGGCCCTGTCTTAGTCGGTTTCGGATCAGTGGCAACGGCCAGGATCTTTCTGGCTCGGCTACGAACCGGAACAGAGGTAAACCGAGAAGGACGCGAAGGGAAAGAGAAACGGAGGGGCTCGGCCCCGCAGTAGACGAGCTGAGACGCCGCGTCCATCAGCGGAACCCCTCTTTCTCTAAGATTTTAGAGAGAGCAAATACCTAAGATGGAGAGAACGTGGAACGTCTGTTACCCGTGAAAACTGGAGCAGGAGCTTCTTAGGAGAAATGCGAGTCAGATTGTACGCTAGTATGCATATGCTTGGTAATGGTTGGCCTGCTGTTCGCCCAATGTCATATCGGTGTTTTGTCTTCTTCCTCAAGCCTCCACCAGTCGTGAGTCCACTGAAGCGTGGTCGAAGAGTCTGGCACATGAGAAAACACGTGGCGCAACTTGGTGCCAGAGTAACCAGACGCCCGCAGGCGCAGAGGGGTGTTTTTGTAATTTCATTTCCCCTATTTTTTTTAAATAAAATTCAACCGCTCGTGTGTTTAATTTTGGTATTTTCATTTTCATGGTTTATTAAAAATTTATACGGATTTATGAATATACTCTTTTTTCTTACATTTTATTTTTATCTGTTTCAAGATTTTCGAATATGTAAATATTTTTCTTAAGAAATATATTCCAAAGTTATAACATATTAATTTAATTTGATTAAAAAAATGTTTTAGTCTCACAATTCTGCTTATATAAATAATACACTTCGATTTTCGGAATTAATTATGCGGGCAAGGTGACCTACGACCGAAAGTTATATTATCTATATATTTTTTTATTTTATATATATTTTAACTTTAGGATATGTATCTTCAGTAATTCAGAGTTTAGTCTTACAACGGATTTAATTAATTAATGTTTTTTGTTTTCAGTTTATACAAATTTTAGATTTATCATTTTCTAAATTTTATTTTTTAAATTTTTTTGAAATAAAAAATAAATTTATAATAAAATAATAAAATAAATAAAGTATATTATTCATAAATTATAAGATCACTCGTTACAAAAATTATCAACACAGTCGACAAATTCATATTATCACACGATTAGCAAAATTGCCTTAACAAATCCCATCGACATATATACACCATCAATTAAATTTGGTAAAAGCATTATTTGATAAACAATGTGTTATTTAATTATCCTTTCTTATAAATAAGTTGAAAAATAATATAATTAATAAATTTAATATTCTCTTGATTTAGTTAGTTTATGGGTAAATACTATATTGATATCTTATACTTAAAATAATTTATTAAATCATTTTTTATGATAATACATTATAAATTTTTGTAATTATCTTCTTATAATACTAGTAAAATTGCATAAGCTTCAACGATCTTTTTGTAAAAATTCGAAACTCAAAATAAATGAATTTGTATTTTTAAATGTGGAAACAAACAATAATATTATGATTTATATTCCTTACACAATAAATTAAAATATTCAATAGGGATATGAGAATGTTTATACTACAACGGATCATAAATATAAGTAAATAAATTATTTAAAATAATTAGATAAATGTCATAAGAGTTAACCTCCACTAACTAGTTCTTGAAAGAGTTCATGAGATAAACTACTAACAACTTTTTTAATGATCGAGATTTGGATCTTGATTTTCGTTATTTAAAATGTTTAATAAAAGAGTGAGTTGCACTATCCCAGTAAGAATATCACACTAATCATTGATATGGAAAACTAAAGGTTAGTAAAAATTACAAAAATAACTAATTGAGCCCTTAATTTAAGTAAATTCATTTATCATAAAGAAAATTATTTATTTCATACTTACCATTACGAGTTTTTCAAATATTGACCTATAAATACCAATATCTATACAACTTTTTAATATCATGCACAAGTGAACAAAAAATGACAATTTTCTTTTTTTTACTTGCTTACTGGTATCCTTGGGGGTCCATAAGGATGTCCCCCCACGCGTGAACCTAATATCCAGATTTATCAATTAACAAGCCGTCTCCATACCCCGTCTGGTAATGGGCGTCAAATATTTCATCGCCTCAATACTTCATCTGATATGAGGGTGAACTATATCTCCCAAACCCTTTGGGTATGGAACTTTCCAGTCCCGTCCGACTGAGGTAACATTCACGGTAAGATTCTCTATGTACCAAACTCGTCCGCCCTTTCCCAGGATACCTGTTAAGCTTTTCACATAAAGATCCCCATCAACAAAACAACCACCAAGCTCATACTAATATCTCATTTCATATTCACCGATTAACTAAACAACATTTATGCAAACAATACAATTTCATACCTCAATAACCAAGAAATGTACTCGAGGTCTTTATTTTCAGTCAGTCAATCGGATAAAAAAAAATGATTAGGTAGTCAATAAACAAGAAAATAATTAAAAGCAATAATGAAGGCACATGGCGGAATAACAATCAATTTAGGCAGCATAGGACAATGAATAGGCAACACAGACAAACTATGACAAATATAAACTGACCGGTTCCGCCTCCACTAATGACATATAATTATTTTTATGGTTTTCTAATTTTTCACAAAACATAATATTATTGATTATTAAGCCTCTATTTACAATAATAGGGAATAGAGTGAGGGATTTTTACCCGAATCGGTATTTTAAAATGTTGTACTATCTATTATGTCTCCTAACAGGTCCGAATTTCCTGAATTTTTCATACAAAAATCAAAATACCCGTCACGTACTTAAAAATACTCCAAAAAATTCAAAATTAGTGTTGAAAAATTGCCTTCCTACCTGAGATCAGTCAGCAGCTGTACATATTTGAGCTCAGCACTTACTTAGCCGTTTTGACCAAGGAACAGTAAATAGAGATGAACTTTTGTATCTTTCCTCCAGCAATGGGAGGTTACAACCTCACCCAGCAAGATGCTAAAGCCAACATGGATGTGATATAGGATACGTACACTATTTGTAATCACCTTACACATGTTTTTGATTTATACTAGTGCTTCATATTCGTTTGTCTCATATGCTTTTGCAAAAAATCTGAATGTATTACCCAAGAGACTTGATTCTGTATTATTTGTGTCTATTCCTGAAAGTAGAACACTACTAGAGAATATTATATACAAAGATTGTATCATAGACATAACAAATAGAAAACTGAGTGTAGACCTGATAGAGATTGACATGGGAGACTTTGATATAATTCTGGAAATGAACTTATTAGCAGCGTATCACACCATCGTAGATTATTTTCACAAAAAACTTGTATTCAACCCTCCTAATGAAGAGTCATTTACAAGTTTTGAATATTATTCCCTCATGACAAAAAACTTGTATTCAACCCTCCTAATGAAGAGTCATTTAAAAGTTTTGAATATTATTCCCTCATAACAGTTTTCTTATTACATAGCGCTTTAACTCGGTTGTCTTCTCTACATAGGCAAACTTAAGAAAGAAGTTTGTATTCAAGAGATTCTGGTAATCTGAGACTTTCTGGATGTGTTTCTTAATGAACTATCTGGATTGCCAGTAGACAGAGAAGTTGAGTTCACCATTGATTTTTAGTCTGCCACCCAGCTTATCTCGGTTGCCCATTACTGCATGAGTCGTGTTGAGATTGAAGAACTGAAAAAATAAATCAATAAATTACAGGATAATGGGTTTATCTAACATAATATATCTACTTAGGGTGCTGGAGTCACATTTATAAGGAAAGAGGATGAGATGTTAAGATTATGTATTGACTACAATAAATTGAACAGAGTCATGATCAAGAACAAGTACCCCTTCCCCAGAATTGATGACTTTTTTTTTACTAGTTGCAGGGTGCCCAAGTCTTCTCGAAAATAGACTTGTGTACGAGTTACCATCAGATAAATATAAGAGAAAAGGACTTTCCCAAGACACCCTTCAGAATCAGGTACGAACACTATGAATTCCTGATCATGTCATTTGAACTAACCAATGAACCAACCATTTTTATGAACTTGATAAACAGGGGTTTCAGACAATTTCTAGATCAGTTCATCATTGTATTTATCGATTATATCCTGATCTATTCAAAGAATCAAGAGGAACACGTTCACCACTTGACTGAGCTTTTGAAAGTTCCCAGAAAAGAAAATTATATGTAAAATTGAGTAATTGTAGATTCTGGATCGAACAGAATATCTTCCTATGACACATCATATCAATGGATGAAGTATCAGTGAATCCTAAAAAAGTTAAGGCAGTACTTGGTTGGGAGAAATTGACATCGGCTAAGAAGATTCGTAATTTTCTAAGAATGACAGGTTATTACCGCATGTTTATGAAAGGGTTTTCTAATTTAGCCGCTAAATTGACCCGATTTATAAAGAAGAACGTCAAATTTGAGTGGAACGAGAATTACAAAAGGAGTTTTACATAACTTAAGAAGTGGTTGACTACTGCACTTGTATTGGCTTTACCGAATGAAATAGGTGGATGCACAATGTATAATGATGTCTCATACTTGGGATTGGGTTGTGTTCTAATGCAGCATGAGAAGGTCATTGCTTATGGGTCCAAGCAATTGAACCGTCATAAAAAAATTACCCCATCCACGACTTGGAATTGGCCATCATTATTCACGCCTTGAAGACCTGATATCACTACTTATATGGGGAGACTTTTGAAATTTACACAGATCATAAGCGCTTAAAGTATATATTCACTCAAAAAGATCTCAACATGCGTCAAAGGCGTTGGATAGAGCTCCTCAATGACTACGATTGCAAGATTTTTGTATTACCTGGGTAAGGGCAATGTGGTAGCCAATGCGCTCGGTAAAAAAAGTCTAGATATGTTAGCTAACTTAATAGTTTCTGAATGCAGGGTAATAGGGGCTGCACAACATATACGACTTCATGACTTAAAGATGATTACATGTTTGGTCCACCTGACTGTCCAACCCGAATTGATCCAGAGAATAAATTAAGCCTAATTAACCGATTCCACCATAACAGCTCTCAAGAAGAATGCATAACACGGAGTAAATCCAAAATTTCGAGTTTCTACCGATGGGTAGCTCAGATTTTAGAACAAGGTGTGTGTTCTAGATTATAGTGAATTGAAAAGGGATATCATGACAGAGGTTTATAGCTCAAAGTTCGGCATACATCCCGAAAGTACTAAAATATATCAAAGTATGTGACTCCGATTTTGGTGGAGCGGGATGAAAAGAGATATAGCCGACTTTGTCTCCAAGTGTCTAGTATGTCAACAGGTTAAGGTAAAACATCAACACTCAGGTGGGCTATATCAGCCATTATCAATTCCGGAGTATAAGTGGGAACATATCACAATGGATTTCGTGACAAAGTTACCTA